AATTTAGCTCTTATACCTTCTTTTATTTGATAGCGAAATACGATTTACGTGTCTTAGAAAATATGATATGAAAGATAATGTGTAGTATTATTTAATCATTACTATTTATTATTTGTTATTAAAATCCGCTGATAAAACTAAATTAAATGATTCGTAAAAGCTTACAGGTTTTACAGGAAGTTTGTAATAAAAGTTATTTTTATGGAAAAACTAGTATATGTTAAGCAAGAAATATATAAATAAGTATCAATTTTTTAAATATTTTTTAATAATGTTATAATAATATTATTATGTAATATTTTTAACAATCTTTTTAGATATGCGTAAATGTGTGTAAACATAATACAAAAATTAGAGTCAAGATTCATATATATAAAACTTCACTAATAACGTGACTATTTTTATTTGGGTCAGAAAAAAAGACAAAGAATTAATAAAAAAAAGAGAAATAAGAAATCAATCTGGTAAGTGAACAGTCAATATGATAACGTCATAGACAACGTATCTTTCAAAGCCAATAAGATTTCCGTCAATTCCTCATATCCTTCTTACATCTCTCATTCACGCTTCAATTTTTCTACTTTTATTACAAAAGTTGAGTTAAAATATAAATCTGCACTAATATTAAATAAAAAATACACAATAAAAATAATGATTAAAAACAAAGTTTTAGACCTAGTTTTACAAAGTTAAAGATAAATTAAAATATAATATATAATCACTAGCAATAAATTAAATTAAAAAATGTAATTAAAAGTTAAAGATAAAAAGTATATAAATGTAATTGTGATGTAATAATAATTACTGATGAGACATTAATCATAACAGAATTATAATTACAACAATTATATGTATATATATATATATATATATATAAATATATATATATATATATATATAAAAATTAGGATAAATGTGATTTAATTTTTATTAGTTAAAGATATTAAGACCAGAAGTAAAATAGGCGATATAGTAAGGATCGTATCTTATTGGATAAATCGGGTTTCTCCGGATCCGTGCACCCTCTTACATCCCGGCGATTTCTTTCTTCTATCACGAAGTCGAGAGGCGTGGGCGGCAATCTGTAAAGGAACGTTGCGCGCCGCATTGCGAGGCGTACGCGTTCGCGAGCTTTCTAACGAGGCTTTACCACGGGTGGCTTAAAGCATTAAAGCGGATCGCGTGAAGCATCGCTCTGTAGGATTAACTTACCGTGGCCGGGATTCTAGCGAAGAAGAGGAACTCGCTGAAAGCGGCGGTGCCACGCCGCATGCAACGCCGAGTATACTCCTCTCTCCGTTCTTTCGTTTTAAAGCCGTCCCGATTGCTCTTTTTCTCGCGCTCATCGATAGCGCAGGGCGTGCTTGGAGTCGTTTTTCTCGCGGCTGCCTCCTCCGTTCTCCATATTAATCAACAACACGTGCAACGACGCCCGCGCTCCTGCACGACATACACTCCATTCTTCCTTATACTCCTCAAAATATGATCATTTTTTGCAAATTTTTATTTTTGTATTCTTATTTAAGTGCCGAAAGTAAATTTTGTAATGATAACGTAATTTTATTTGGGTTGATTTGCGATTGCGACATCATTTAATAGTATAATAAAGCTTTTACTTAATTTAAGTTTGCAAGAAATGAGAGAAATCTTCGACGATTTTGGGAAAAACAAACAATCTAATTTTTAATTATATTTGAAGATGTGTGATATTTGAAGATATATACATTATCTTTTTAAAAAAAATATAAATTAATACCTATATAACTTTATCATATTATACTTCTATGTATACATATATCATAGATACAGTTTGTGAAAAAAAATGTTGGTATTCTAAAAATGTGTTATATGAAGTCTATATATACTGGTCCAAAAAATTAAAGGGTCACCTGTTCTATTCTCTAAAAATAGGCAAACTTCAAGATAGAGCAACTTCGTCAAAAATGATCGTATCGAGATGTTCA